AAGAAAATATTGTATTTATGTACAATGGGGTACTCTTTTGTCATATAGAAAGACAAACTTAAATCATTTGTTAGAAAATGGATGTACACTTAGGCCATAATGTTAAATGAAGTAAATTGGACATACAAGTTTAAGTATATAATTTTTGTCTTATGTGAGAAACACAAAGGATAAGGAGTATAAGAGAGGATAGGTATTGGGAAGTAGGAAGAACAACTTCAAACTGGGAAGGGAATGAGGGAGAGGGGACAGAGAAGAAAGAAGGGAAAAGGGGAAAAAGAATGGGAGGAAAATAATAGAAACAAAGCTTGTGTAAATGGGGAAGGGGAATAGGATTGAAGGGAGAAAGAAATTGGAAAAATTAAGGTCTATTATGTACAGGTACAAAGTCCATGATTAATGTGATTAATATGCATGATAATATATCCTAATAGAAAAATAGAAAAAAATGATATACAGATTTAATACAATATCAATCAAAATATCAACAGCATTGCACAGAGAACTAGTAAAAATAATCCTAAAATTCATATGGAACTATGAGACCCAGAATAGCAAAAACAAACGCAGACAAGAACAAAACAGGAGGAATCACAATCTCCGATTTCAAGTTATATTACAAAGCTGCAATGTTAAAACTAGCACAGTACTGGAACAAAATAGACATGTAGATAAAAGGAACACAATAGAGGACGCTGAAAAACTCCAATGTACAAAAACATGCTGGAGGAAAGAGCATCTTTAACAGATGGTACTGGCAAAACAGGCTTTACCCATGCAGAAGATTGAATCTAGATCCATATCTCTCACCATCAAAATGGATAAAAGACCTAAATATTAAAACAGAAAATGTAATATGCTGAAAGATAAAATAGGTTACACTCTTGTAGACAGAACTTAGGCTAGGACTTTCAGAATTGAACCCAGTTACACAAGAAAAGCATTGAGAATCAAAAAAATCATATTATATCAAATTTTAAAATTTCTAAACCCAAGGAAACACCCAACCAAGTGAACAAAGAGCCTACAGAATGAGAAAAAAAGTTTTTCCAGTTACTTCTCAGAGGACTAATATCTACAATATGTAAAGAACTCAAACAAATTAGGCTCCCAAATAAAAGGTCCTAAAAAATGGACAAATAAAATTAATAGATCCTTCTCAGAAGTACTAATGGACAATAAATAAATGAAAAAATGTTCCACATCTGTTGCCAGAGAAATGGAAATTAATGCAACACTGAGATTCCATCTTACTACAGAAAGATTGATTACTATCAAAAAAATCAAATGACAGCAATGTTGGCAAGGCTGTGTGGAAAAAGGAAGCCTTCTACTTGTTGGTGGAAATGTAAACTAGTAAAACCACTATGGAAATTCCTTAAAAATTCAAAAATAGAAATTCCATTTGACCCAGCGATCTCCCTTAATATCTTCCCAAAAGAGTTAAAGGCATCATATTGTAGTGATCTCTGCACACCCATGTTTACAGCAATGCAACTCATAATAGCTGAATCAATAGATGAATAGATTTAAAAATGCAGCATTCATACAAAGGGAATACTACTGAGCCATACAGAATGGTAAGTTTAAGCCATTCATAGGAGAATGAGTGCAACTTGACACCATAAAGTTAAATTAGGTACACAAGCTTAAATATTGCATATCATCTCTTATATGAAAAACCCAAAGTAAAAACAATACAATGAGCGAAATATAGGACAGGAATAGGAAACAGGGAGACAGATCTTTTGCAAGTGAGAAAATGATATAGGGATGAAGATCAAGGAGAGGACGGGAGGGGAAGTAAAAAAATTAAGACACCATATACATGTACAAACTCTCCATGATGCATGTTGTCATTATGTACTGCAAACATATATTAATAAAAATGTTTCAAAGAAAAATAAAACATGTGAGGCAAAATCAGATTCCCATCTTATCCCATACAGATATCCAATTGTTAGGACACAAGTAATTGTAGTAGTTCCTCAGACTCACTCAATTCATGTTTCCCAGGGTCCTCAGCTGATGCTCCTTGGGGATTCCTAATCATGCATGGCTCCATGGCTGTGGTGTCCTCTGCTGGTCCTCCTCCTGCCCTTGTCACAGAGAGGCCACTCCTGCATGCCTCTCTGGGCCTGCTGCTGTGGGAGTACAATGGACCCAGTTTTTGGGCCCAACCCAAATGAGCATAGGCCCTTCTCCTGCCACTCCACTTGGGTGGAAGCAGAATGTTCCTCTTCCTGTCTTAGTGGGGATGTAGCCCTGTAACAAATGACAGGTTAAATGAGAAAAACAAATTTGTTACCACATGCAATGCACATCACGTAGGAAAAACCTCAAGTAACATTAACTCGAGGTGGTGGCTTGGAACTCCAGCATATACAGCATGTGGATACCAAGAGATGACTGTATACAATTGTTGTATAATTTGTGTCAGTTACCAACATTTTAAAATAAGATTTAGCATGCTGACAAAGACTTTTCAATTTTTCTGGAAAACTTAATTTGTCCAGCTACCTTGGGCTCCCATTCACTGTATGAAGATGAGTAGGGTTGGAATCCAGCCACGAGGTTTATGCTTGCCCGATTGTCACAGCCTTCACCACGGTTTAATGTTTTATGGCAAATGTTCTCATTTATCTGTCGGATAGCATTGGAGTCTGTGGTCCACACAATCGGGAGTGTGGTCTGGAAGTCACTCTCCGCTCTTAACACTTAGGGGTAGCTATGCAAACTGAGGGGATTCACTTACCTCCTGTGGGCTCAGGGTCCTCATTTCTGTAGCAGATCTAGTAATAGTGCCTCCTGTGTATCGTTGACTTCAGTTCTAAGTTTAAAAAGGATCATTACATCCTGCCAAACTGTGTAGCCTAATTCCCGTCCTCACCCTTTCATGTGATGCACCAGCCAGAAGAAATCTTCCCGTTTTAGCTTGACTTTTTGTATTCAGGCATGTCAAGAATGCTGCCACCCCCACACCCTCTGCTAATATCTATTCATAGTGCAAGCCTTAATTTCCCCTCCATGCCTAACGGACCCTGCCTGGGATAAACCCCCTATCTATCTATAATCTCCTGTGCTTCTTATCTCTGAATTTCTTATATCTTTCTTCTCCTGTAGCATTCTGAGCTTGAGGCCAGGAGCCCCCTTTGTCTTACTCACCCTGTTATTACTGACACTTAGCCCAGGACTGAAACCAAGTAGACCCTCAGTAAACATTTGGGAAATTGAATCAAATAAATGGAGGTGATATCATTATGTACTTCTCAACACTTCTTGCAAGTGTCACATCAGAAAGGAACCCATTAATTCACATATGGCTTTCTGACTTAAAGAGCTATTTATGGTGTTTATATTAGCAGATGTGTGTATGGCAAGATGGTAGGGTTTTTGTTTTGTTTTGTTTTAGCTTTTATGTCTCTTATCAGCCCTGTTGTGCTGGTTGATTGACTGTGTGAACTTGAGTAAGAAGCTCATCTAGATTGGCCCAGCATTTCCATACCCTGGGGTGTGGCTTGGCCTTGCATGGTGTAAAGGGGAAGTGAGGAAGGACCGATCTGCTCCTGTTTCTTCCGAGGAGTTCCTCCGGTCTTCCCCTTCCCCTTGGACGTCATCTCCTGGTTCCAGCGCGGGCCCTTCAGCCTTTCACTGCAGACGCATCGGCCTCCTGATCTGGACTCTGCAGTGAGTTCCTGACCTTCGACTGAGTCCTTGGCCTCTGTTGTGCAGACGGCCTCTCTGCCCTCTGCCTCATCCAACTCTGTGGGTGGTCATTGTAAGCCCATCTCATAAATTCTCACATATTTGTATAGCTCATGTTATATCTTTCTCTAGTAAACACTGACTGATACAATATATAAACCCATAAAACCTCCACCACAATTATGATATATGACATTTCATTACCCAAATGTTCCTTCAGTGCCCTTTCTGAAAATTTCCCACCCAAAATTGGCTTCTTTCTATAACTCTAGAATATTTTTTCTAGAATTACTATAAATGTGTTACATATGTTGAGTGCTTTCTAGAACTTAATTTTTGGAGCATATTGTATTTTAGAATCATCCGTGTTGATAAATGTGTTGAAATACATTTTCTAGTAAGGTTAATGGTTTTACATTTCAATTTATGATTTGATACACATTTTAGAGTTACATTTTTTGTGTAACACAAGAGTTCA